AAAGCAATAGTGTTGGGTCTGCAAGGTCAAGCAAAAACAATAAACAAATTCCTGCAAACACTTCCGAATTGAGCACATTTAGACATTCCCACGTGTAAGTCTAGTCCAGTACCATACTGGAAATCCACAGGCTCTCTGACACCAGGTCCCTGTTCCTGAAGTGACTGAATGCTCACACATCCCAGTGACCAGCACTGGGATGTCAGATTCCAGCTCTCTGAAGGTGAGGGATGTCAGATTCCAGCTCTCTGAAGGTGAGGGATGTCAGATTCCAGCTCTCTGAAGGTGAGCTCTGGAGAGGCTGGAGGTGGGAGATCCCAAAACAAGAGGGACAAAGCCTGACAGCATCCCTCTTCTTTCAGGAGTGCAAATCAAGAAGAGTAAACTACTCACAAAGTCGCTGCATGGTAATAGTGAATGTGATCCTACAAGGGGGGAAGGACTCTGACATCAAGCCCCACCAACAACAAGATAAACTAATTAAACTCCTCTTTCCTTGAAGTGAGAACTTGTGCCACTGCATGGGTCACAGAGACCTCAGATAGGTCATCCTGGTCCTCCTCATGAATCTGTATTGCCTAGCTTTCCCTCAGATCCCCGGCATCCTACAGCTGCTTTACACATGGACTTCCAGCAGTGCTCTCAAAATTATTGTAACTCTTCTCTGAGGAACTTTAATTTTCCCTTTTTTTTTTTTTTAATTCACCATGTCCATATCTGCATTTCTTCTGAGGATCAGTCCTTTTCAAGGAGACAGCAACCCCCCAGAGCTAACACAGGATCTCCAACCACTTAGGCTGTATGAAAGCAAGAGCCATCAGAAGTAGGTTGCCAAAAGAGCTCAGCTCCCATTTAGTTATTAATGTCTGGATTTCCAAGTGTAGTGTTAGGTAACATGGGACATGTAGGCTGTACATAATACAACATTTTTAGTAACACATAGCACACTAGCACTTCTTGGGATGTTGCTAGCCTGTGTAAGGACTGCTTTAAGGAAATAGGAGAAATGGGAGCTCATGTAATTAGATATTAATAAAAGCATTTCCTGAATGTTTCACAAGAAATAAAAGGGAGAAAACACAAGTTCTTTGAGGTGGTTTATATAATTGTTTTAAAAGAACATTTCAGCAAACACATTCAGTAAAGACATTTTTTCCTCCTTAAAATCAAGCTGAGTTGATTTTATTTGATCATTATATTCTTAAGATAACATTCATCTTGCCTAATTCCAGCCATTTAAAATTCAGGCATTGTCTGGGCTCCCTCCAGGGAGGGTAGAGACAGGAGAGACAGGCACTGCCAAGTTAATTCATCCCCTGGCTCAGATACTGCTTTGCCCCTGGGAGCACCTCATCCTGTACAGAAAATAGAAGAAGATTAGGTGACCACCTCACACTTCAGACAACTGAAATAAATCCCATCTTAATTAGCTTTTCCACTCACTGTACTTGCATTGTTACAATATCTGAACATCCATACTTTCCAAACCTGTAATTCTCACACTTTTTCTCTGATAAATGGTGACTCTGACTCATTTACACATATAGCTGAGGCAGGTAGAGCCAAGTTCTAGCCCTGCAAAGGTATTTACTAAGTTAATTGTCTAAATTAGGTGTTTTTCAATCAGCTGACAAATACTCAGTGATGTAGACAAAGCAGAGGCAGTTGGGTGCCCTTAGGAATTTGCTGGGATGTAAGCAGAATTGACTTGCCTTAAGGACATATGTCATGGAATTAACCCCAGGTCTCCTGAGCTGCTGTCCTAACCTTTGGAATGTCCTTAACATCAAGCAAATCCTCTGCTGTTTCTTGAATAAAACTTTTGAAGTATTTACAGTCATGTCTTCTTCTTTGTCAAACTCTAACAAGCTATGCACACTCAAAGCCTTTTATTCTTCCTCATAAATCAAACCTGACTCCAAGCCTCCCTTCTCACTTTTATTGATCTTCTCTAAGCTATCCTTAGATCTTAACTTTGCAGTAAGAGCACAGTGAGGCCAAAATTCCAGGGTTTTCTAGGTGTTACTGTGAACTAAACACAGGAACACCAGCACAGAGTTGGATCTTGCACTAAAATCAGTGGAAATACAACATTCACTTCAGAGTTCTGCTCTGGTATGCAGCACTCTGCATCACAGCACAGTGCACTGACACCGTGTGCACTGACACCGTGACTCTTGCACTTAGAGAAGTAATTGACCAAGACCTTAAAACTTAAATACTTGGGGCACATCAACATGAGAGTCCAGACACAGTAAGATGTGAATTAGCAGCACACTGACTGCCCTGCAATCACATCACACAGAAGTGTGTATTAGAAGGAAGCAACTTAATTTGGAAGCAACTTCCTTAATTTGAACAACAGCCTTAGGGCAGACAGGCCATGCAGAGCCAGTGTGGGGAAGATACCACTCTGCACACTGTTATTCCAGTTGAGCAGAAGCTGACTCCCAGATGTAGACAACCTTTATCAGTCCAGAGCAGGCTCCAGCCCTGGGTGATACGTGCTTCTTAGAATAATCTTGGGGAGAACTGCTGGATGCTGAGCATGTCCTCTGACTTGCCCAGAACTTGCACCTGGCTTGTAACATGGGTCAATTTATAAAACAGACTCTGTTCCTTTCATCTGGAAAGATTTTTTGGCAATTGCCTCATTAAAGTGAAACAGAAAAGCCTGTTTCTGTAGAGAAAGAGATGTCAGCCCCATACTATTCAAGCAAATGACAAGATAAAAACACTGTTTCTGGTACTAAATAAGTGCAGTTCCCCCCCTCCTAGGACAGATGCCTTGATCCCTAACTAATCAAAACAATTCTGTATCAACCTTGAATTATCAAAGTCTAACCACGTTCTGTTTTCAGAAACCAGGAGCACAGAGTATGGGCAGCTTGTGGGAAACACACACATAAAGTACCATGCATCTTTCAAGAAAGCTACTGAAATAATTATAAAAGGTTTTTCAGATGTCTGGTTTTTAGAGGGATATTTTATCATCTCCTGTATTACCTAGACCCCCAAAACCTTACAAAGCTACCCTTATATTGAATCCAGTAGCTTGTTTGTGGACTAGCTCTTTTTGTCCAAATAAGATTCAGTTTCTGGGGATATCAAGAAAACAAGATTCTGCAACCTCCTTTGCATGGGACTGCCTTGTCCATCTTCTGAAACAGAAAAAGTTAAATCTCCCACACCAATAAGAGAAAGTTCTGCCCAATCAGCCAGTTTCAGAACAAGGAAACATGTTTGTGTCAGGGTTTCCAACCTGTCTTGCAAACCACCAGAAGAACGAATTCCTTCAGAGTGTTACACACAGCACCATATCTCTGAAGGGGAATGAAGGGTAAGTGCTTAGGCAGCAAACACTGCCAAAAACTCAAATGCCTATTTTGGAACCTTCTCCCAGCCTAACAGAAAAGCAGGAGGTAGAAATGACTGCTACACAAGAAAAGACACCCATGGGACTGAGGTCACATCTTCATCTTGAGACGTCCAAAAAGAGCTCTGAGCAATTGCTGCAGCCTCCACAGCACAGCTGGGTTTTCCTTCTGAGCAGTGGCACACACAGGCTAAGCCATAATATAATGTACAATTTCCATAATATAACGTAAGGGCAGCTCAGAGCAGATCCCATCAGTGAGATTCAGTAAAACAAGTTGGACAAAAATTACTGATCTTCTAGGAAACACGGACTGAGGATCCTGAATCCTGAGCACAAGGCCCACAGGGTCTTGGCTCTTCAGAACAAACTGTCTGCTCACTGTCAATGGCTAATGTATCCATCCTCCATCAGCACCTTTTCACCTCTTCTAACTGCTTGTGCTCACACCTCTCCTCCCATGTGGCTCAAACCAGAATGAAGAGAGTCAGCACAATTTAAACAGGGTCATGCTTTCCAAGCATCAAACCAGTATTTTGCTGAGAAAAGAATGAAAACAAATTGTACACTGCCTACTGCAAGGCCTTGTGAGATTCCCCCAGGGCCACCACAACACACCACTGTAATCTCTGCTGATGCTTGCACTGGAGATAACAATGCTGCCTGTTATCAAAGCCACTGTGTCCCAGTTATTCTGGCCTTACACACTATTTATCTTATAAAGATGAGTGCAGCACTTTATAGACTGTCTAATAGTTTATCTTGGAGATGTCAAATCCCACTTTCCATTGTGTCATGTTGAATTCCTGAATGGAAAATAAAACACAACAAATCCACACACATTCCAAAATGCTTTTCTCACACCACTTCAGTGGCATTTACCTTGTTTGTAGGGAAAGGAAGGAAGGAAAGCCCAGAAAGGATGGAAAGTACTTTTTTTTTTTTAACACCATTTACTAGAACAGATTTTATTAGCCATAAATAATGGTGGTAACCTAGGATAAAAATAGAAGTAAAGCCTGTCTTCACTAAGAAAATGGCTATCTATATTTCATCACTGACCAACTGCAGAGCAGCTGTGCCTGTGATATCAATGTTATCACAAAGGAATTTCTACCATTGTCGTGAAAACCTGGCACCAGCCCCGAAATCTGTCTGAATTCTCTCCCTTTAACAGTTTAACACCCCACATGTCAGATTGCTAGAGCAGAGTACCCCTGGGGAGTGAGAGATTTTCATCATGTCAGGGCCATTTCTGGGAATTGACGGGATACAGGAAAACCATGCCTGAAGCTTTTACAAAAGCACAAGAGAGAGTTTAACTGTAGGAAGGAGATTAAATTTCAGAGGGGAGTTTGGAAGCAGAAGCAGATTGTCCTGTGACTTGAAACCACCTGGAGAACTGCTGCCACTGAAAGGCAAGGATGGACAGTTCCTCTTAGGAAAGACCAAGCCCTTGTGCCACAGGACATGCAGGCAGTACCACAGATACAGCACAGTAGAAAAAAAAAGGATAAACTGCACAGAATCTCACCTTGGCTTTTAAATGGAAAAGAGGATAAACCACACAGAATCTCACCTTGGCTTTTAAATGGAAAAAAGGATAAACCACACAGAATCTCACCTTGGCTTTTAAATGGAAGACAACAATTGCATTCTGCTTTTTTTCTTTTTTCTCTTGCTTTGAAAGCAGATGTTTGGATTGAGATGAACTCCCTGCACTGTTTGCTGCACACACCTTCTGCTTTTCTGTCAGGCTGTGAAAAACCAGAGAAATTGGCACTGGAACATTCAGTAGTGTATTGTGCCTCAGTACTCATTCTTCATCCTTACACATCAATGTACAACAGCAACAAATAGAGAAAAAAACCAATCCTTCCATCATTGCATCAGTTAAGGAGCCAAAGCACAGTAACGCATCTTTCACCAAGTAGGAAGGATTTGATTTTAAGTGCCATTGAGGAGATAACTGTCTGTGTTACGAGCTCCATAATGGTGCTCGTGTTGCCATTTAGGAAAGTAATGAGCTGTAGCAAAGTCACAGGAAGCAAAGGACACAGGAGCTTCAGTCTCCTGAGGACAGCACAGCAATTTATCTGTACTTGGACGTGTAAAACTCTTTAGGGAAATAATAAAATAAAATAAAAAAAACCTCACCAACCTAAAAACCAAATCACAGACATGTGAATTTGTAGACAGATACCTTAAGAAAATCAGCCCATTTCCCCCTTCATATAAATTTTATTATGTAAGTTTAATCAATCTTCAGCCTAGGCAGTTTATAATTATTTTATCTAAGGACAGAAAATCTTTCCATGTGAAAACTCCTTTAACTTCACTGGAAGCTGCACAGGTTGTTGGGATGTTATACTGGGGAAGGTATTTCTTTGTCATAAATCCAATTTTAACTTTTTTTTCAAGCTGAGGCAGCTTTATGAGATGAAGTAAATCTGCTTTTTGTAGATGTCACTAGAGGACTCTAAACACCGAATCGTAACTCCAAAACAAACGTGTACACCACAAACAGTATTACCAGGACATTCATCTTAAAAAGGCAGCACAGAGAAGCACAGCTAAGTGCACCTTTTTTTTATTTCTAGAAAAAAGCACCTAAAAGATCCTTGGGTCTGAACAATGTTAGTAACTTCCTTAGATGCACCAGATCTCATTACTTTTTTCCCTCAGTTAGGTGGGCGTGACATTCCAAAAATTACATCAAGTCAGCTCTTCCTTAAAGCCTTCAAAGCTTTGAGTTCAATTTGCAATATAATAAATTGAGTCTTAAAATAAACACCTTGGATTTCATGAGGTCTGAGAGGACCTCACTTCTGACAAGATTACAGCTTGTACAAAACATCAGATCAACTGACCACAGTGATTCAGACTGTAGTTATGTAAAGCATCCTTGCCTATTAAAATAGTTTTAGGAAAAAATCAGATTAATAACAGAGATTTATGATATTAACTGACTCCTCAGTCAGCCAACTTTAGCCTTAAAGATCAGGATAAAACTGTCTTTTGCTGTTTTCAGCTTTTACATGTAGCCCCCCCCTGCCCACAGCACCTGGGCCATGGGGTGCACACACAACAGAGCTGTGACTGCTCAGTGCCTGTGGTGCTCAGAACCAGGCAGAGGAGCTCAGAAACACCTGCAGGGCTGGGGTGGGCTCCAAGTGTGCCCAGCTCTCCCACAGACTGAAAGGAGAAGTTCCACCTCTCCCAACACCCTTCATCCAGCAGCTCCAGGGCTGGCACGCTCCTCTGGGAACAGGAAGGATTGGTCACCTTATGATCCATTCCATGGTGCAGCTCAGTACCAGGTAGGAAACACCAACACTGATAGCAAAACATGAACTGGGGCAAATCCAGTAGAAGAAGTCTCATCCCAGAAGATGGTGCAGCAGCTGTGCAAAGCCAGACTCCTTCTGCTGGGCCTGACAAGGGAGCGCTCGCAAAAATGGAACGGAGGTGGCTGAGAGAGCCAAGCTCCAGAACATCAGCAGCACCACTGCTCTGACCCACACCTGGGAAACTCCCCTTCCAGGCCACCTCAGCACCTGAGCCACTGAAATACACTTTCACAGTTTAGTTTTTATTTTAAATATTGGTAGAAGTAAAAGACTGACCCTACTCATACCAGTCTGCTGTGAGAGCTCATTGCTGAGGATCCCGAAGGAATCCCATGGAAGGGGCTTGGAAATTGATGATCTTCAAGGTCCCCTTCCAACCCAAACCACTTTATGATTCTGTCTCACAGGCCCCTCCCAACACTATTAAAACATAGCTAATAAATTAATAAAAACTCCTCTGAATGAGAAAAGGCCCACTGCTTGTAACTAATGACTACATAAACACAAGTGCCAAATTTGTTCCTGTGTCTTCTATGATTTCTATTGAACAAATGATGGATTTTCAGAGAGATATAACAAATGATCACTCTATTACTAGGACACAGTATAGTACCAACTTTGAAGATTTATTTATGTTCTTAATAAAGGTTTTCGAGCACCCGCTTAAAAAAAGGACATAACACATGAAATTAAGCAAAGGATTTATTTAAAGGTAATTCATATGCAGGAGGAACGTTTCTTTCACAAGGTGAGAGAATGGATATAAGAATGCTACATTCTGCAAAGCTACAGATTATGACAGTACAGAGAATTTTACAGTTAGAGCTGCTCTTACTGTAAATCTTGGAGAAAAGGAACTGCACTTGCAACAGCCTATTACTACTTGTCATTGCCCTTTATTTTATTTTCCTCTCTCAAAGTAGAGCTCTCTGGACACCCAAGGATGTTATGAGCATTTTTCATTTATTACACTGTTCTAAAGCCTTTTAGTATAAGCTTTCATAAAACCTCACATATATGCATTATAAAATTACAGAGAATAAGTTCCATATGAAAAATTCATCATATTTCTTCTTTCTATTTTTTAGCAGAGATTCTGACATAAGCATGGGAGCAACAGACATTGTTTTAATTCTTCATTGTGGAAGGGGAAAAAAATCAACTTTTTGCTTTTGTTTAAGAAAGAATTTTTTACATACTCCCTCTTTGCAGTCTGCCCCTTGCAAAACCAAAAAAGGATTTTAGACAGACAAGAAGTAACCACAATTATATGGAGTGTGTCATTGATAAATTCCAGGGGAATACAACAGGCTAGGTAGGCACATACCATTAGATCTAGCTGTTCAAAATCTTAAAATTCTAGCCAAGATTAAGCTGGACTATTTGACCACACCAGCCCTCAAGACTGCACTTAATTTTTAAAAGGCTTGATCTCACTCTAGGCTTAGACTTTAAGCAAGTAACTCTTTCAAGAGAGCATTTTACACAGCAGCCTATCTTTAAACATGTGCTTAAGTCTCTTGAAGTCACTAAGTACAGACAGACTGAGAACAGGCCCAAGTCTTTCATTTTGTGACAGCCTCAGATTTGTATAATTTTAGTTAATCCTGGGCTTTCTGTTCCCAGTGCATTTAGGCATGAGTTATGCTGACACAAGATGAGATCAGACTTGGTGCTGCAGTGTCTTCAGGAATTTTGGAAGAGAATGTTCCAGGAAAATTGGTAACTTCTCTTCTGCCCACCCCCTTGGAGAAAAAAAAATAAGAAAGCAACACCACCCCAGCACATCACTGGAGTATGTTCAGATGTTACAGAGGCTTTAGCCTCTCTTCTCCTGCATGACGTCTGCTTCCTGCAAGTCTCCTGATTCTCTGACCAACTGAATTGGAAACACTTTAATTATGGTCATTTATTTTGCTTTTAAACTGACCACATTATAAGACAAAGCTCACGCAACTCTTCTGTTTATAGTAGCACAGGAAGAAAAATATGCAAAGATGTACAAAAAAGGATAAGTGTTACTGAAAGCTGAGTAATAGACACAGTGTGAATTTCATGCAGCACAGAATTACAGGTCTCCATGCACATATAAACTCTAAAGCATGAATTTGTCTTTAGTCACATATGTTTTGAGCCATTTAGGATTAGGTACTGAAAAATTAAGTTTGAAAATAAATGTCTCTAATGTCCTGTGCTGAGTCTGACCAGGGAAACTGTTAGGGAAGCTCTCAGGTACCAACAGAGCTCTGAAAATGAATCACATTTTCCAGTTACGTTGTGGGGAAGTGCAATGACTTAGTTAAGGCCAGTATAATGTCCCAGGCTTAAACTACCACACCCATCACAATGACAGTCAATTGAGTCAATGATTCAACCCAGATGGGAATCCAGGTTCTTCTTGGCTTACTGTTATCTCTTCTGCCCATTAGGTTATGTGACTTCCATAAGTTATTTTGCAGTTCCCGTCAAAAGAAAATAAATCCACATGATGCTACACTCTGCCTGCCTCCCAGCTGTAATGCAAAGTGGAATTTTGGACCACAGCGCTGTTTCCTGACTCATCCTGGATCCCCTCCATGTGACGTTGGATCCATCTAAGCTGGGGAGAGCAGAATAGAAGGGCTGTGCTATTTTTTTTCTTTTTGCCTTTTTTCTTTTTTTCTATCACCCACTGTCAGATAACACGTGCATGTTCTCGCAGAGCGTCTCCAGAACGTGGAAAAAGACCAACAATACCAGAGAGAGGCCTTTCTGAATACACAAGGATAGAAAGAATAAGATAAAAGGGCTAAAGATTTATACAGGGATTATTTAAATAATGACTCACTGCCATTGCTAAGTTTATAAAATATATAAAACCCAGACAAAAATGTAGGGGCAGGGGGAAACTGTTGAGAAGTGTGACAGAGGTGCAGGACTATAAAAAAGTTAAAAATAGCACACCCACAGAGCAAAATTTCCTTCACACCTAAATACAGCCACTACACACCTCATGCACATGGCTGTACTGTGAGCCTCTCTGTCGCTTGTTTGCAGCTGGAGGGAATCCAGAAAGCAAGGAAAACAAACACAGGGCACGTTCCCTGCGTCTATCCGATTCGATGGCATTTAGCACACACCTATGGCTCTCTCCAGGGGTTAAAAAGACAAAGGGCCAAGCACAGCTCCGGCAATCCCGCAGGCTGCCTTGCCAAGAGAGCGCGGTGGGAAAGCCTGCTTAACCAGCCCCGAAGGATTCCCTCGTGGAGGAAACCTCAAAGAGCACAGAGGTGGCTCACTGGCCAATTCCAGCTCCAGGGGTTTTAGCCAAAGAAATCCTGGCATGTGCTGGGAATTCAGCTGATTCCCAGCTGATGCATCAGGCTCTCTGCATCCACGGCATGTCAGTGGCACACAGTGAAGCGACATCTGAGATTACAGCTGCTGGATTTTTAACAGCAAAAAGAATGAGAGGAAAAGCAGAACAGGGATTTAAAAAGAATTCAGAAAGACATCATTATTTTGGCCACCCTGAGCTAACAGCAGGCTCACAGGGTGACTCCACTGTTTATGGCTTTCTGCCAGTTAAACTGCAAAGATCCTGACTGTGTGGGACATTCACTCCTCTGCTTGTTTTGTGACATGGAAAAGAGGCTGAGCATATACATCCCTTCTGCTAGGATCAAAATAAGGACAGGTGCTGCTGGGAGCATTTCATCCTTTGCCTTTGCTTTTCAGTATCTTGCTGTTTACATTGTTAGCTGCTTAATTATCATTACTTAATCTCTGAGTAAAAAGATGCAGCATCCTCAAACAATTTAAAGGGCTCTTTCCCAATGAACAGCATCTATTTCCATTCAACACTCTAGCTTAATTAAAACTTTTCCCCCCCCCCGGGCCTTGTTTCAATTAATTCAATTCCAAAATCCCAGTAGAATGTCCAGACTGCAGCACAATCTGCGTAATGACCACAGTGGTATCCGCAGTGAAAACATCACCTCTCAGAAAACAAGAAAAAAAACCCAAAACACTGGGGAGCAGAGTAAGATCAGAGCAATTACAGTATTTTGGAAGGTTGGTTGATGGCACAACCTGCAGCTGGGAAAGAAGCAGGCAGAGGCCAGTACTTGGGAGTGGGGTCAAAAAGAGGTATCAGTGTTCTGGGGATCTGACTGTAGCCACTCACCAAGACAAAGCTGAGGGCAGGAATACAACTTGAAATTACATCTTTCTCATATCAGACGCCTTACTCAGTACTACTGAGTGGCACTTCTCCTTTATTGGGATTATTGTCCTGAAAGCACCTACCAGCTTTTGTAATAGAAGTCATTCTTGTATTTTCAGACACAGCAGAGACTGGTGAAGCTGCTATTTCCATTTCTGGTTAAAGCACTCAACGGGCAGAGCCCACACACTGACTGTAGGAGACTTGGAATCACAGCACTGGTCTAGAGCACAACTCTCAGTGCTTCAGCACTGCACCTAATGGGAGCCTGTTGTGCTGCCCACACCCTGAGAATCCCTGCTGGATCAATCCAGTCCTAAGGAGAGGGAAAGCAAATTTAGTTCCTGGATCTCAGGCTAGTCTGGATGTCTAAGCCAAAATAAAGTTCAACTAAAAGTGAAGCCAAGCTGCTCAGCCTGATCAAGGCGAAAATGCTTCAATTTATGAGACATCTCTGAGCAGGACTTGTCTTGGAAATTTTAAGAAAAAGAGGTGTGGCACCTGCAGAATTTGGATATCTCTGTTTGACAGTAGATTTACAATTATGGATTAAAATACCCCAATTTCTCTTTAAAAGACTATTTAGACACCCAACTTTCACAGAAGACTTTGGCCCTTACACTTTGCAGGAGATGATGTGCTTTTCTGGATCAAGCCCATAATAACCTAAACAAACTAATTAAAAGGCAAAGATGAAAAGTCACATCAATTATAATAATGAGGACTTGAAAAACGGTAGAGAGGTGGTGTGCGATTAGCATTAAACACCTCCAAATGGTAAACATCAAAATCAAGTCTCTTTACTTGTCCCCCAGATTTGCAAGTGAAAGAGACAGTGACATGCTACAATTCTTCAAGGGCTTGCCTGCATCTTCCTGGCCTCTGTCAGAGACACGGACACAATGTGAACTGCTGCTTTCTCAGCTTCTGGTCCCATTTATCTCTATTATTCTTGGACAAGTTGCCCCAGTTCAAATCAAAGTGAAGCTCTTTTTGAGGAAACATAGGTGGCTGCCCTGTGCTCCTGCAGCACAGTCACCGATTACCTAACGCGCTCAGGAATGTTTCCCTTCTACAAGCAACAGCTTTCATTTTGCAATATTCGCTGCAAAACAAGGAGCTTTCCCACCCTGGGAGTTCCTTCACTCCCAAAGTGAACAGGAGGTGGTCCCTGTGAGCAGGCGAATGTTCTCCTTTGGGCTGCACCCCGGCCAGCCAGGTGCTCTGCGCTCCAGGGATGGGCGCGCTCAGCAGCCGCGCTCACGGCGATGCTGGAGGACCGCGTAGAAAGGAAGGAATTCTACCACTGCTCCAGCAAGCAACAGTTCTGCTGAGGAGCATGGGCTGATCACGCCCTGCTGCCTTCCCAGAGCCCGGAGCCAGCTCTGGGGAGTAGGAGCAGGGGTGCCGGGCTGAGCGCACCAACTCCTCTGCTATCTCACAGCCTCACCGCCCCGCTCCCAAAACTCTTTCCTTCTCTCCCTTCACCCCCCGGCAGAGCCCAGCCCTTTCCTAAGCCAGCCTCATTCCCCGCTGACAGCGGGGCAGGTGGCCCGGGGGCCGCCAGGTGCCGGCACCGTTCCGCTCCTGCCGGGGCAGCCCCGGCGGCGCCCGGGGCAGAGGCGAGCGGAGCGTCCGGGACAGGCAGAGGGGAGCGCAGGCACCTTCCCACACCGCCCTCCTCCCCTTCCCCGCGGCGCGGAAAGTGCCCCAGCGGCCGCGGAGCCGCGGAGCCTCGGGGCCGGTACCTGCCGGGGCCGGAGAGCGGCCGGAGCGCGGCGGGGCCGGGGCCGGGTGTCGGAGGCGTTGCGAGCGCGGCGGCTCCTCCCCAGCGGCAGCGGCGGCGGGAGCGGAGGGTCTCGCTCCTTCTGCGCCGAGTGTCAGACTTTCCCTCGGCCGCCCTCCCTCCATCCCGCCACCCCTTTCCACTCCCTCGCACGCACATGCACACCCCTCCAGCAAATGGGCTGCCGCCTGAGAGTGCGCCTGTGTGTCCGGGTGTCTGTCAGCCGCCGCAGGCACACCCCCCGCTCGCCGCAGGTCCCGCTCCCGGCCCGCCGGACGGGGCTCCCGAGCAATGCCGGGGTGCGCACCCCAACCCCGACCACGGCAGCCATGCGCCCACCCGGGCACCCCGAGCCCGTGTGCCTTGCCTGGGCCGCAGCCGCTCCGGCAGGGCCGGATCACACACCTGCGAGCTCGGCCAGGAGCATCCCCAGCTGTCTCTGGGATCGCCGTGCGCGGCTGCTGCTCCTCATCCACGTGGCTGAAGCAGGCTCAGGTCCGCTCACGGTGTTCCATGACACATTCGCTCTGGGACGGAACTGGCTTTGCAGACTGATTGAGTAAACAAAGCCAGCTCGCCACACTCACGATAAGTGGCCCGGAGCTCAGGGCTGGTGCGCGTTTAAGAGTTTGCCTGTGTGCAGAACTGTAGCTGCCAGGGGCACAGCTGCATTCGCATTTATTTGTTTTGCCCCCGGAATGTGCTCCACTGGTGGTTCTCCAGCTTTCGCAGGCTGCAGAACCACTTCCTAAGAGAGAATTTCTCTCCTGGACCAGCCCACTCCCACACCAAACCATTCTCCCCAACATATTTCCTTCTGTGGCTGCCCGAGGAAGAGCCTTCCTGCCCGCAGGCTGAGAGCCACTGCACACATGGCACAGGCAGTGTCAGACCCTTCCAGACAAGACACACTGGGCTTCTTTCAAGAGCTGTGTTTCCCTCAGTGAAGGGCTCAGATTGAAAGGCTTCAGCTGGCAGCTCGGTTGTGGAACAGACCCCGACTGTTGCTCCCGTGAAATAACCAAGGAAGCCCAGAGAAACACACTGGAGTTTCCATCATGTAACTCACCTCGGCAGAACTTCATCCTCACCTACCATTCACACACAAGTCAGATGGGTGGTCTGGGTATACAGGACAGGAGCTAAATAAGGGGAGGTTTTTAGGTTCACCAAAAGTCAACTTTACACCTTCTTTAACCTAAGTTTTTTAAACAGTTTGTTTCTACAGTACCAAACTGACATTGTTTTTTATAAATTCTACACATGCAAATACAGACTGCACTTACCTACATGAGTTTTATATTCCCAAAAGACAAAGGGAGGAATTTGGAGATAGGTTTACTGTTGACTTCTGCTGTTTAAGGCCTTAAAAAAAAAAATGAAAGGAGATTTTATCCTGAATTTCCACATTTGTATCATTATCACTGGTAAAACTTTCCATTGCTTTAATCCCCACATGGCACTACTTAATACAAATATAATTGGGATGAGTATGATGCAGATTTGAGCCAGTTTGTGTTTTGAATTTCTGCAGAATAATTCTTGCACTTTACCTTGTTCCCACTCACTGATGATCACAGGTGCTGTGCTGATAACCCCCTTCTGCACCTGAAGAAGCTCGACAAATAGAACATGAGGAGCAGGCTGGTGGAAGAAAAATCCTTGTGGGTTTTTTGGTTTTCAAGCATTTATTAGAACTATGGAATAGGGGTTTAAGGTACTCTGACAACATGAATCCTGATAAAAAGAAAATATGCTGCAAAATTCTGTTTTTTTTCATATTCTGGAGATGTTTCAGACTCCCGTGAAAAAGAAATCGGCATGAATGTTTCCTTTTCTCATTTGTGGAACAAGTCTACAGACTCTGTGAAATGTAGGGGGGAAAAATAAACGCTTTGGAAATGATTTTATTTTAGCAGCTGCGGGGGGGGGGGGGGTGATGGATATGGAATAAATAGGAGAAGATTTGTCTTTCAAGAGTGATAAAACCGAATTTGTGAAGTAGAAGCTCTTCCTGAAGTGGAGGAAAGCAGGAAAAAATCCGCCCTCTTGTGGCTGCTGGCTAAAGGAAAGCCGATAAAATAACTTTATCTGCGGACAGCAGGGAAGGAGCAGGAGCGCTTTTGTGAGCCTCGCTGGGAAGGCTCTAAACAAGGTTACACGAGGTCATGCCATGGACACAGGCTGAGCAGGCATTCGCCATCTGCACAGCATCATTGTAAATGATCACCCCATGCATTCCTTGGCATTGTATTTTAAACCACTGCGCAGAAATTCCCAGAGCAGATAAGCACAGCTTTACTGGGAGACTGAGAGGGAATTTTACCTTTCTCAGCATCTGTGTTAATGCCACCTCTTTAAATGATCTTTTTGGTCAGGACTGTATTTGCTCTTAACAAGGGTGTTGGAGATGCCTCCTGAAATAGGAATTTCTGCCAAATTTACAGAAATGGTCTAAAGTTTCCATAGGAAAAGAAAGGTTTCTTCCCATGCTTTGAAGTTGTGATGATTATAATGATGGTGAGGATGATGCCATTATTTTTTGTACAGAAAGGACACTGACTATGGGATGGAAGAAGCATTCAACAGCTCATTTTAAACATGAATTTCAAAAGTGATGGGGTTTTCTCTCTCTTCTTTTTTTCTTTAGTAGCTAATTTGGGGCTTCCCTAAGGCCAAATTCCACACACAGTGCCCAGAGCAACTGTTCAAATTACCTGGCTCATGAAAGAGCAGAAGCTGAACATCAGATACCTGCATTTTTGTTTTTTCATCGGGCAATAATACAAGCATGAATTAAATAAACGACCAAGCAGATCTTTCATAAATAACTAAAATGAGGAAGAGAGGTCAGCTATTTTTGTTACTTCCCATTTGCTTAATTTTGTGCTTGATCATTAATCCGAACAATGTCCAGACGCTGTAATGCCAAACTGGCATATTTCAGGCAAAACTATTTTCATGTGAAATTAATTGTCATGGTAAAGTAGACAGTCCTTTAGTAAAGATTGTGGGAGAAACATGAGACAGCAGCCTGCTGCCACACTGTGTTTATCCTTATGCTGAGTACTATTATTCCTTCTGTAAGCAGTGACAGAAATGCCTGCAGCATGATGCAATGCAATGGTGTTGCCTAAATCTCTGAAGGAGAGGGATTGTTTTCCAAAATGTTGAGCTAAGTTGTGCCTAGTGAATCACTTCAAGTAGAGCTACTCTGCATTTGATGACTCTGAGGCCCTTCATAAGAAGGTCCCATCATTCATGTCCAACTCTGAAAATTTTCCAAGGAACCTCCCACTCTTTACAAGCCCAAGGAATAAGGTGTCAATTTACCCTGCTTGTTCCCAGCCACCCATCCCTGCATTTGCTTCCAGCAAAACAAGAAAATGTTGAACATGGTAGATAAAGCCACTAAAGACCAGAACTGATTTGCCTTCATCTGCTGGAAAGCCAGATGAGCAGTGAAGGATCCAGAAGTGGGGGCAGCCTTTGTAAGGATGAAGAGGAAGCAATCAGCTGGGCACAGAAATACAGAAATCACCTCATCCAGTCAGCCCCAAATGCCTCTTTGTGACTCAGCCACCAAATTTCCTTCCCTGGGGAGGCTTGGGTCACTAAATTCCTATGGTTACTGTACAAGCACATTGGCAGACTGAGTTCCACACTTGCAATAAAGTCAAATTCAAATCAAATGCTGTCCAAGAATCTGGATCAATATTCTCTGAAGACAATTAAGTTGTATTTCCACTTCCAATAATGGCACCTACATTGATTAATGGACTGTATAGAGAAGACTGTATATATATACACATATATATACACACACACATACCATAGAGTATGTGTGTGTGCATATACTAGAAGGCAGGTGTTTTAAAGAGGATGAGTAAGAAAAAGAATAGTGCTAGTAAAGTATTGAATTTCCACCTTGCAGTCCATCAGGAGATAAAGGCTCTTTTTCTGCACCCTTTCTCCACAGGAATAGCCAGAGTTTGTCCATTTCCCTGTGCTGATGCAGCTTGGCTGACCCTTGGGGATCTCCAAAGAAAGACAAAGGACTCTGCTCTCTTCCTGTTCCACCACTTTGGGAAGAGCAGAATCTGCTTTACTGCAGTGTTGGTAATCATAATGTAACACCTGCACAGTAAAGCTGATTTTATGTCTCTGGAAAAACAAAACAAAACAAAACCTGGAAAACACCCTACCCTATCCCTAATCATCCGTAATGAAGCATTAGTTATTTTTGGACTCTAATTTTAATATAAGAAACAGCTTCTAAAATTGCCCCAGAGAAGAGAATGGAATTCCCACTGTTGCAGCTTTTTGATAAATTTGTACCTTGAAAAATAACCTGCCTCATTATACAAGTGGATGCTCACAGGGCTCCCTCTTTTCAGTCAGGAATGGATATCTGTCTTGAGAGATACAGAGATGTCAAGTAAGGGAATAGTACCCCATTTTATAATGAAAGGCCTATGGCACAAGAAAACTATATGAATTCAGTCAACTTCATTAAAGAGGTGGTATCAATAATCCCAGGGTCCTGGCCATGTCCTTCCTGACTGCTGCAAAAATTAACCCTGTCTTGGCCAGGACCTTGACAGGCATAAACTGCATGTGGGATCTGACCCCAAATATGGTGAGAAAAATAAAAATTTTGTCTACAGATCACGAATAGTATGTCAAGAAAAAAGTTTGTTGCATATCCACTTATGTCCGGGATAGGAAAGAAAATCAGCTTCTGAGAGCCCACAGTTCTATGAGAAAACAATTAACTGAAGCTCATTTTCCTGCTCTGTATAAATTAAACTTCTATATTTCTACTTCCAATGAAATCAGCTGTTGAACTAATTGGTTTAAGGCATTATCCTGGTCTCCCTAAATGGCAATGACTGCTGTACTGATTTATGGGCTTCAGCACCAAGCAGGGGAGGGTAAGAATAAAATCAGCTCTGAGCTGTGTCCAGAGAACTCCACTTCCCCTCAGTGGTGGCTGTAGAAATAGGAATTATAAAACCCTCATGTTAATAAAACATGAGTGCTATTACATGAAATAGTACCATGCATTTTCTTATCTCAGAACACAGGATATCTAGTTCTGTTTATCCTTAGCATGAACAAATCTTTGTGAATGCCTGAAAGTC